TTAAGAAATAAAACCATGTTTTAATTAGCATTTCTAACATAAATTTTATCTTCTATTCAAGAAGTAATAAAGTTTTCTATTGTTTTGGGTCAGCTTCTCGTACAAAGCAATAGACACCTAACAATTTAGACTAGTGTTTCCCAACTAAGCAATTTTAAAACACGTAGACTTCATTTCCCAGCATTCCCCAGCCAGCATGGCTGGTTGGAGAAGTCTAGAAGTTCAGGTCCTCACATCTTAAAGTTGCCAAGTTTGAGAAACACCAATTTAGACAATGCTACCCCAGAACTAAATCTACTATCAGCATTAGTCTCCATTTGACATGACATAAGAGAGCAGACTTCACGTCTTTATTCATCAAAAATGCATTCTTATTCTTGAAAATTTAAAGAATTAAAGCCAGTAGCATTATTATATGGCAAAATTTGGAAAACTTACTTCAAAAATACAGCTTTGGATATTTATGAAAATTCTTTATCTCCATAGTTTCCCCATATATTCATATATCTTTGAAACAGAAAAATTAATACAACTCAGTTGTACTGGAGGTTAGTATCATCACTGTCTATCTTTCCTTGAAGATTGAAACAAGATACTGTCAGCATTCCAACTAACCAACTCCAAACCAATAAACTCCGAGACAGGCATTTCCTCAAAGTTCCATTTTATGAATTGTCATATTGGCATACCTGGGAAAACCCAAATCTAAGAGTTCCAGGTTTTCCCTTCCCCAAAAGAAAATAAAAAATCCATGCCCTGCACCAATAAGTCCATCACATGGCCCAATCAAATCATCGTCCCATCTGGAGACATTCCTCCAGACACTCCTCCAGGTGCAGGGCAACATGTCCTTGACTCTCTGAGAAAGAACGTTGAGTTTAATCTTCTACCTCACTATGAAATGCCCCCTCCCAAATCTCCAGGCACTAAATTGGCAGCCTCAAAGCTTCCAAGTAAAAAATGGCTTTCAAGATTGACAGATACTTTAGATGGGTTATTGATTGCATAGAAATGTCAACTAGAAATTAGAAACTGACCTATTTAGGTTTAATTAAGATGTCCCTTTAGACTAACCATTTTCCCAATCAGATATTAACCAATCATATAATAGAAGTTCAAGATTTATATAAACATTTTCCCCTCCCTCCTCCTTTTTTTCTCCTTGCCGTTTCCCACTGATCGAGAGCCATTGATAAAGCAGCATCATTTTGTCATCTGTTTTTGCATTCGTTCTCAACTGTCATGAGAGACCTTGGAGCAAGGACAGTTCTTTCCTCTTGACGTGTTTGGCTGATGAATTCCATTCACACAATCAATGCCTGCCTGAAAAATAGTTTGCTAGTTGATAAAAGGCAGCATTGCTCTGACAAGATATGAGCTATATGAAGCACTGCACCTGACTAAATTCTCTTTCGTTGTTCCATGAATCCAAAACAATTTTATTGCTGTTCCACTTTATATATTTTATTATATGCTTCTTGGTCTCTTCACAATATTGCAAATGACAGAAACCAAAGACCTCAGTGGAGTGCACTATAGCATTTGATCTACTTATGCATTTTGAAAAATAAGCAAGCACTGAAGAAATAACACAGTTTTGAGGGAGACTAAGTTCTTCCAGCAATGGGTAGATTATTAGAGGCAATTAAAGAGGATAAAACAAACCTGAAGTGCTACAGAACAGAAGTAATAGAAAGACAAGCCTGAAATAGTTTAACCAAATTATTTCCAAATTCATTCACTCGAAAGATTCTATGCAAGTAACTGGTTTTCTAGACATTTTCTGAAACATTTAGCTTTCTTATAAACCTAAGCAGATTTAAGCTTATGCATTTCCTTCTACCTTTCATGGTCTCCAAATCTGTTTTGCAAGAATTTTAACCATCTAGCTAGTAAAGCAGAATACATTTGGGGAGCTAACAAATGTTTTTCCTTCAACAAATGCATGATTATATTTGGGTATTTTCTTTTATCTAAAATCAATTTCTAGGAATAGAGCAATAAAGGTTCTTTACCCTGTTAGTAGAAATAATTTGGTCACATCTTCAAATTTACTAGCTAATCAGAACCATGTTATGATTATTCCTACACTGTTTTTTTTATTAGTTCACAGAGTAAATCAAATCTGGCATTAAGATTTCTCTGAATTTCCTAATAATGCACATGTTAGTTCAAAGGATTAAGCTAGGTTTTCCCTGACATGCTACTTTAATGCAAGCAAGATATTCTGATGTGATACATCCAATGCTTTACTACCAATTTAAAGTAAGCTTATATTGACTATGCAGTTTTTAGTAGCCTCACTTAAAATAGCAAATATCTGGCTTTAGCTACTTACTTACTGTTTGCCTATATACTGTCAAATATATGTGTAATTCTGTTTCACTTTTATAGTTCATATTTTCTTGAAATACTTAACAGATTTTCTTATCTCTCTAAACAAAGAAAATGCAGAAACAAAATATGGTAAGGAAGTTCTCAACACCCAACATTTACTCATACTCAATCAGATTTATTTCTAAATGAATATGTTTATTATTTTTCTGATTATTGTTAACTTATCTATGAAGCTTTATAATATATTCAGAATTTTCATATATTGGAAAAATTGGAAAAACATCTTAAATTTAATAGGCCATATTTTAAGCTAAACTTTTTGTGTGTGTTAAACCTTGTGAATTCCTTAGCACCTACGTGTTTTTAGAATGTTTTCTGAATATAATGTTGGTGAATGACAACTTTTACAGGATAAAAACTATATGTAAAAATAACAATGCAGACCTCAATAAAATATTTTAATTTTATTATTCTGATACAGAAACCTTTGCATATCAGTATTTACATATGAAGTCAGAAGCTTCAAAAGATTTTCAGATTTTAAGAAATATAACAGGAAACTGGATTTCAGGTTCTATTTATACTAGATAATTCTTTTTCTCATTTTCATTATATGATTTTATTTTAAATGATTCTTCTAAAATTTAAGTTCCACGGTGCAAAATTGGTTTTAACAACTTTGTTTCAACCTAAAGCAACATGTTGTCTATTTTTAAGCATACTTTTAAGTATACTAAGCATACTTAGTACAGCAAATTTGTAATTGAAATATCTTAAGCAACTGTTGCTTAAGAATGAAGTTTGAGGAAGTTGTGGCTGCTTCAATGCTATTGTCTGTTGCTGCACCTGCACTCCCATAATCTGACCTGCTCCCATTGTGTGCCTTCCCTGACTCACACAGCATTTTTGTGCACCCCCATATGCCCTTCCTGACTGTGCTGCTCCCCAGTTTGGCATCTCTTGTACACCCTTCCCAGCCTACACTGCCCTCTGAGTGTTGTCCCTAACTTGCATGGTGCTTCTTGTGATCTTCCAAGCAATCTCAGGCACACTTCCTAACTCATGCCACTGCCTTGCATGCTATCCCCAACTGATACGGCACCTCTCACACACACCCCTACACCATTCTCACATTCTTCTTCCCTCTACAACCCCTTGCATGCCCTACTTGACTGTGCAGCATCTCTTACACATCCCTATGATCCACTCATTCTTCTTGATCTGCAATGCCCCCACCCCCTTCAGCACAATCCACATGATACCTCTCAACAACCCAAGATACCTTTCTTAGACTATGCCACCCATCCTTATGCCATGTGTTACCTGTGATGTCCACCCAACCTTTCCCAAACCACGTGGCACCTCTCATGCATCCCTTTTTCTTCCTCCCTCCCTCCCCTACTTACCTGCCTGATGTTCTTGGACTTGTAACTTCCTACTGGCTTCTCCACTGACTTTCTCCCTGCAAGCTTCCCACAAGCAAAGTAAATGGGAAAGTTGGCAGGAATTTGAGAGAGAGAAAGAAGGAAGATAAATAATGACAGAATGAAAGTAAGGCAGGAATGAGGCAGGGAAGGAAAGAGGAGGGAGGGAGAGAAGAAAGGATGGAAGCGTAGAAAAAACAGTGGAAGGGAAGGAAGAAGGGGTGGGAGAAAGAGAAGGAAGATAATGACGGAGAAGGGAAAAGGGAGAAGGGAAGGGAATGTTCTCTGCCAGTTTCCCACAAGAAAACTCATTGGGGAAGCCAGCAGGAAGTTGAAAGTTGCTCCTGCTCCCATTGGTTTTTTGCCCACCCATGGTCATTCTTTCTTGATTCAGGTAAGGAAGTATCTCTAAAATAATGATCCAATGGGGCGCACGTTGTCCAGTATAAACCGACATTCCCAAATAGGAAATAGGCATTCTAACTGTACCTCCAAAGTGCAGCAACATAAACACGTATATACACAATCTGACACACACCTTTACCAGCATTGTATCCATCCTATTTATGGAGCTAATATAAATTAATTATTTCTCACTGATATCAATACATCAGTGAATTTCATGTTATTTTTCCCTAAAAGACCAGAGCTTCTAATAGAAAAAATGCTTGTTTTCTTTCCAAATTTGCTAGTGCAAATCCACCAGGAATTGGATGTGAAGATTTCTTTGCTTTTTAATTTTTTTTTTCTGTAATCAGTAACATTGATGTGTTCATTTCAGTTTGGCAGGCTAAAGAAAACTCTCCAATTAAAAAAATGATTTGATGATACTGGCTACTGAATGGACTGGGTGACTGATTAGAGTATTTTAATGGGAAGACAATTCGATAATAATATGACTTTTTTCTAGGTGTGCTCTACTTGTGGCCCAATTTGCCTATTTTTATGACATTGCCAATAATATTTTTCTACCCAGAAAAATGAATTGGGTCTCCCTTGGTCTGCCAAGCACAGATGATAGGCTGTATTCCAGCTAGCATCGCTCATATTATACAGGCCTACCTCAGCCCATCCTTATTTGAGCGGACACAAATATAAAGAAACTGTACTTGTCTAACAAAAACTCTTGGGCTAATCTTAAGTATAGTATCTTAATAATAAGGCTAGAAAGTATACTCTAAATTTCCTCTGTGAAACAATGTCATCACAGTAACAAATGGGGGTCTTCATTCATGAAATATGCAATGATACATAATTCTTCATCATCCTTCTGCTAAAAATAGATGTCATCATTTTTGAACTCTGGTAAACATTTGTATTTGCTTGGAGAAATCCGGACACAAGCCAAGTTAGGTTCACAGGGACAGCTGTGATGCATTCTTCTTCCCCAAAATGGAATCTGGAAAGAAATATTTAGAGTTAAGACATAGGGTGACTCCCCCCAAAACTGAGCAATGTTTTGATTCAGTGCCCATTAATGTACTTTCCACACTTCGAGCTGTTTCATAGATATGCCATATCAGTTATTCTATCTTCTTTGTAGCATATGGCAATATTAACTATTTCCATAGCATGATTACATTATGAAAGCATCAGCTTTGAAGAATCAGTTCAAATATTAGCTAACTCCCATGTGGCAGTTTGCTAGATAAAGCATTTCAATAGCTTCAACCAACCACACATTATAAGTTGGTTACCCAAGTTGTGAGTGTCTTTGGTAGATAGCAAGATACTTCTGTTAGTTACAAATATTTTATCGTTTTCTCTGTCTCCTTAAAGAAGAGATATTGGATGTACTAGAAAACAAATGGTAGTAAATAAGCATGATTAATAAGGAGGAATGAAGCAGTAAATACAAAAAAGAAATTATTCTGTCTGCATAACTGGCAATAAATAGGATATGTAAACATGTTTAAATCTATCAGTTAATAAATACATTCATGATATAATGGTGCCTTTTCCAATCTTCTGCTCTAAGAATGTGAATTCTGGAGGTGCAACTGTAACACATTCAGAAATTCCAGAAGTTTAAATCAAATTAAAAATTAAAAAGCTTAAGTTAAAAGGAGAATTGATCCACTGAAATTTATGCTACAACTTTGTGGTTTTTGTTCCCACTTATTTCAATGGGGATTGTGCAACTAACAGTCTGGATTCAACTTTAACTTAGAAGTTAAAGGAAGTTTTTGAAATAAAAATAAAAATATTTGTTTAACATCCTTTTACATCACATTCTATGTAAAATTATTTAGCTAACACTGGATATCTTTAGGTATTATAAGAGGAACTTTAGTCATAGTAACCATCATAATTCAGTTCAGAAAGGTGGCAATTAGGAGCCCAATAGAAATGAAAGCACTCAATTTAAAAGAAGTACCCCAATATAAGGAATAGATGACCTGATTCCTTCCAGATGTTTGTGATCACATCTCCCATTTTGTCTTGGTTGAGTTCAAATTCAAATCCATCTGAAAGACACTACGTTGCTTGCCTCAGATCAAAGAAATGTGTATTTCAAATGTGATTTTTAAATAATCTTCTCTGTCTAGAAGAACATAAGGGCCTAAATATCCTAATAGTTGGTCTTTCTCTTTAAAAAAATTGGTTAAATGAGACAAGATCAAGTAAAAGCAGATAATAACATGCTGATCAAGTTCTAGAATGCAAAATACTAGTTCGCCTTAGATCTTTTATAAGGATATCGTACAATAGGAATAATGATAAAAACGTTCTTAACTTTTGCAGAAAGAATATTATTTTATACAGTTTGGTTTATTGCTAATATTTCTATTAATTTTTTTTCTATATTTAACATTATACAAGAACTAGAATATTACATAATAGACTAACTTTATGACTTAAAGGATGACAGTCTTCTCCAAAGATGCCCATTGGTGTGCAAATTCGAAGACTTTGGATCCAGAGACTAACAGCACAGCACATGCCTCCACCACATTGCAGATCTCTGTCACAAGCCTTTAATGTAATACACAGATGTATAGCATTAGATATATAAAAGAAACAATAAAACAATCTCAGGCTATTCCATTTGCTCATATATCTAGAAGAGAGATGTTGCTTACAAAAAAAAAATCAAATCAGAGATATAAAACTGAGCAAGCAACTACTGAAATAATTTGAGTTATATCTTCTAGAGCAGTAGCCCCCAACCTTTTGGGCACCAGGGACCAGTTCCATGGAGAGAGGTTTCACATGCTGCCTGCATCCCATGGATGGGGGAGTAGAGATAGCTGAGGGGAATGTGTAGCCAAAATAACATTCATTCTTCTGGGAACCGAGGACATTCCCACCAGCACCTGGAGAGGCCTGGAGGGAAGTCACCCAGGAGGGAGAGTGTGACCTAATTGGGGCATGTGATGGTTGTGTGTAATGGGAGGGGAGCGCTTTGGACTTTGAATTGGGTGGAAAAAACCCGGGGGACTTCAAAGTCGGGTTTTCACCAGCTGTGCCAATATGACATGCCTAATAACTGTACTTTGAGGAAGCCTCTGTCCTTGGAGTTTTGATTCCATTTGGGCTGTTATTTGGAACCCTGACACGTCACTTGTTTGTGCGGATTAGTTTCTGTCATGTTGCAGACCTGGGCCAGTCCTCGGACCGGGGTTTGGGGACCTCTGTTCTAGAGAAACCCTACATCTAATGCTGTAAAAGTTGCTGCTTCTCTAACAGAGTGAGCCACAGTTTCCCTTGGTACCTACTTGTCATTGAAGGAATGTGTCAGACTCATAGATGCTCTGCGCCACCTATTGATGGTGGACCTAGAAATTCACTTTTCAGGATTCTTCACTTTGAGATAAAAAATCTCTGTCTAGCATCCTTCAGGCATATATTTCAAATAAATACATTTGACTCCCTAACATAAAAATTAGATGAAGACTACCCTAAGTGGAAAACAGATAGGGTTCCCCTAAAAGAGGTAGCCCTCAACTATCTTATGTCAGCTCCATAAGGTAGACTAGATTAAGACCCTGTAGGCCTAAAACTATTTTTATTAGAACAGCTATAGTAATAGAATTATGCAAGTCTGAATATGCTTCCTCTTCTCCCTCCTTTATCTTCATGTGATGGAGGGATTGTCTGAAGCATTTTTGTCTTCTATCATTACAAAAGCGTTGATTGGAGAATTGCTCATCTTTCCCTATCTCTCTGAAGAACTTCAGTGTGCATTTTGTGTGGAAGGTCTGATAATTTAGCCAGACTGCTAAAACAGTGTCTGTGTTCTTTTCACCATTCATTGAGCAACTGTTCCAAGCTAGGATGGCACTGAACAAATAATACATACAGCCATTTGCAGCACCCCCATGGGCACAAGATTAAAATTTAGCCTCTTCTAGGAATGTATTCTTGATGGTTTTAAGCCAGATAAGTGAACCTGAAATTTCTTAACTATTGAACTTACAAGGCACACCCAGCCTGGCCCTTTGCAAAGAAAAAGAAGGGGAAAAATGCCGAAGGCAGGAGAATGTTTTGTTTTTGGAATCAAGGATTATCCTTTCTTTTCTTCTTTTCTTTCTTTTTCTTTCTCCTTTTCATCCTCCTCCTCCTCTCCTCCCTCCCTCCCTCCCTTCTCAATGACTGTTAGATGCTGTTTCAGATAAATCACAGGTTCCTGGGTATGGAATCATATATTTAAAAAGAAGAGCTTCTGTCTCATTTTTAACAATCAACTGAATGGATTTACGTGAAACACATATGTTCTGTAATAGATATAAAAACCAAACAGTTTTAATAAAGTTGGAAATATAGACATAAAAGGCAATGAAAGGCAAATTGAAAATGGAGAACCAGCACAAGTAATTTTAGAGATATGAGTAAAAATGATATTAACATTTTGAGACACAAAGTATTGCTTTAATTTATTTAATAAAATGTTTCCAGGGAACTCTAGGAACAGATTTGATATTGGCAAATATGAAATGATTTGAATTATTGAGGACTACATTGTTATATTACTGCACTTATTTTGGCTTCTCTTTTATTTCAGGTTTTAAGATTACTAAATATTATAAGGTTTTTCCACAGTGGCATAATAAATAAGTGCAATGACTTCATGAGCTGATAATGGTGCTGAGGGACACATTAATGCACATTAAACCAAATGTTCTGTTTAGAGGGTTTCATTATGAATATAATTACACTATATTCTACTCCACAACTATGTAATTTCAGCAATAAAATTGATAGCATCACATGTATTTATTAAATAGCTGTTGTCTGAGAGAAAAAAAGTCCAGATTCTCCACATAATAATATTACAATTCAGGAATAAATTTTGTATTATACTGAAAATTAGGAAAGTAGGCTTCCACTGTGAGTCCTGACTGACTGAAGAACTTGTGAAAAAAATGAAGACAAATGCTGTAAAGAATGAAAGGCTGGCAAGTAGACTGGCTCCTTTGAATCTCTCTGGAAGAGGAAAGATTGGGAAATTGCCCAATGAGCGCTCTGAATGGTAGTTCCTTGTAAGGAGACTGTAAAATAGCAGCCTCCCATGGTTCTGAGCACCAGAGGCTGAGGGAGATGATATCTGAGGTCTCACCAGTGACAGCATGTTTTAGAAGGACCCTAAACCAGCTAAACTTACTTTCTAATCACATTCAGAAAAATTCAATTTCATAACTTTATAGATATTAGAGATCTTCAAAATAGTGAGCTTAATATGACACCTGCCGACTATTACCTTATTTGGATTTAATATATTTTAAGCAGAAATTAAGAGTTTAAAATAATATAAAATTGACAAAAGCAAAAAAAAGGGAGATTTTGATTTAAGAAAGTTTAAACAGATTGGAAGATCAAAGAGATTGGAATATTGGTTATTTTTATGGTAAGTTTTTTTTTTAAAAAAACAAGTAGATAATTTAATAATATACTTGTGGGAAATGACTGAAACTGAACTAAAACCCTATTAGAAACTGAAGGTTGCAAATGGACCTAATAAAAAACTAAAGGATGAGGCAGAAAGAGTTAAAATGGTTAAGCCAGCTCTAAATTTTTCTTAAAGGGTTTTGAAACATGGACTGAAATATTAATAACCAATACATATTTCAATGGATAGACTTTTAGAACATGATGAGAAAATTTTTACAAATGTTTACCTACATAGACATTATAGAATTCAAACACATGGAAGAAACTGCAATTACCAAAATGTGTATACAAAAGAGAAATCAAGAAAAGGATCTGGGCATGGAACAGCTGTGGTAAGAAATCCTAGACAATGCTTCCTTATAGGACTTACAAAGTAGCTGAAAGGTTTGAAGACTCCTTTTAAATGCAAAAATATGATGAAAAATCAAATCCTGCAATATTATTAGAATGATTTTAATGATCAAGGTTATGTAGAACAAAAAAGACATATACATCTGGGCTACTTGAACAGGGATAAACTATTGATATTTCTGGACCTTTTGCTGAACTGGGATTGAAAATATGATTTCTGGGTTTCATATAGATAAAAATTAGATAAAAGATAAAAAGGGAGAAGGGAAGGCTTTTTAAAAAATTTGCAACTTTAAAAGAGAGTGAAAGTATATTAGCTTATGCTTGATATGTCATGAATGTTCAAAGCCACTTCATTACAGTATTGTCTTTGCTGTCTTCTACCTTTCTTTTTCTTTTTCATTTTTCTGTATCTTCTGAACTTTTATTTTTATTTTTCTTTAGTTTGTATTAGTTTTTACTGTTTATTAAACATAGCAATATAAACTTTAGTTTGTATTAGCTTTTACTATATTCATTAAAAACTTCAATTAAAATACTAACCAGAAAATTAAGACAAAAAATCAGATCCATTCATATATCAATGTGGGTAAAAAATCCTAATTCAGCTTCCAAAAGCTTTCCTTGTCAAGTCATTACCTTATTATCAACATTTTAATTCAATTATTTTATCACACATTCATGTTTCAGATGTCTAAAATTTATAGATGTTTCAATTCGCTGGTGTTTGTAAGTTCATGATGAACCAAAAAGTGAAGTTCCTCTAGGATATTTTGCAAGTACATGAAGTACTACACTATTTTTGGTTGAAAGAGAAATTCAGTGGTCTGTTGTGGCCCAGGCAGCATGTAGTTTGATTTGCCTCATGTAACCACACACAGGAGCTGCTGAAAGGACACAATCTGATTCAAATCACTGCTGACCAGAGGTTGCCTGTCTTCAATGTAGTTCCTTGAGCCAATATGGGCAAAACCAGAGATGGTATTCAGCAGGTTCTGACCAGTTCTGGAGAACTGGTAGCAGAAATTTTAAGTTCGGAGAACTGGCAAATACCACCTGACTGGCCCTGCCCCCATCTATTCTCTATCTCCCGAGTTCCAGTTAATCGTCTGGGTCTTCTTTCGTTGCCCTGCACAGGAGAATGGAGCTGGAAAGCAGGTTAGTGGGGTGCGGAGGGAATGGGATTTTGCAGTATCCTTCCACTGCCATGGCTATCAAGTGAAGCCACGCCCACCAAGCCATGCCTACAGAACCGGTAGAACAAATGTTTGAATCCTACCACTGGGTAAAACACGAATGAGGCAACTTCTTTTTTCTTCTTCTTCATAAAAATGGTATTAAATGTTCAAAATATGCTAGAATGTTAGAAGGGGACCAGACGGACTCATTTCCATAGAAATGCTGTCGGAGTATTCAAGCTATTATTTCTTTATTTCTTGGCAGAGAATGTGGGTCCAGTATCCTCTCTGGCGGGGAATATCCTTGCCAAATTTCAAGGAGCTATATTGGATTGTATATAGAAAAACTGCTCTCAAAGAATACTAACACTTCTTGAACGTAGTAAGTGATTGTTGAAGTGAGCAATAGAAATGTAAGAGACAAACTCATCTTTTCAATAAATAAATCTCTTTTCAGCTACCCCAAGAATCCAGACTTGTCACAGAATTCAGTAGTGCTTCTTCCTTTCCACTCGACATGTTATTTTATGTCGATGATCAAAGCCCTCCTCCCAA